TCTCATCCCTGATTTAAAATGAATGCAAAATCATGCAATAGTAGTAGGTGATTTAAATGTGGTAATGGAAGACCATTTCAATAAGTCTCATTTTAAAATATGTGCCTTCTGATTGATCTCATACAGCAAGCTTCATTTTGGGTATAAGAATGGATATTTTTGCAGTATTCAGTGAGTCGGAATTTAAACACCAACTTCCCACCCCCAACTCCGATAATAGAATACCTGTTTTTGTTGTTTTTCTCTCTCTCTCTTCTTTGCTGCCCAACTAAATTATTTAGTGAATTCAAACGCAAAATATATGAACTGATTTCATTGTTTGAATTTTTACACTTTAAAAAATCAACTTAATTTGAGAAATATTTCTATTATTTTTACAGCACTGTTTGAATTCAATTTCTAATCCGTCAATGTGTAGAAAGGTTTAATTATTGCATTTGATATAGCACCTTATCACATTGAGATGTCACATAGTGCTTCCCAGGTTTTTTGAAAGTGTGGTGTATATGTATTTGTTGGCAAACCAGCAGCCGATTTGTACAAAGCACTGTCCCTTTAACAGTCATGAAGTGAATGAGTCGTTTTAAAATAATTGTGGAAATAATACCTCCATCTATGAAAATAGTATCCTTGCAGTTTTTATGGTGCTTTTTTGTGGTAAGTCACTAAAAGTTTGGTGGTAATTTGCTGCCAAATGTTCAGTATAAATCGGGCTTGAGCCAGAACGAATCACATTGGAGCTCAGCCCCTGATCCCACCTGGAGGAGGTGATAGCTCGGATTAATTTGTCAAACACCAGTTTTAGATATAAAATGCGTAACTGTACATGATAGCCAAAGTCAACATCATTCTTTTGCCCACTCTTAGATCCAGTGTTTCAAAATGAATACAGGTATTCCTAAAACCTTTGCATCCAACTCTAGGTTGTGAATTTCTGATCATTTCTATATTGATTTCTGATTTTTATGTGTAAAAAAAATAATGAATACAGTATATAGGTCCTGGTATGTCAGCCAACTTGGTGCTTATCATACTGATTTAACAGACTTACAGTAAATCTCATTTTAATTTGAGAGGTTTTAGAGGACTTGAGAATTACCTCAGTGTGTTTATTACTGTGTGATTTATATAGAGTTGTATAACATTAATAAACAAGTACCACAGGACGAGAACATGATTATTAAAAAGGAAATGTTCATTCGCTCCCAAGTACAGAAACCACAAAATAATAGAGGAATGGAATGACTGTTACAAAGCTATTATCCGATAGCAAGTGGACTATTACTGTAGTTTCTTTGTTAGTACAGTGTGTGGCTGCCTGGTCATAAGTAGCAAGGTCACCCCTGCTGCTCTGGGTGTCGGCTTTGTGCCTGCGTTGGCGGTATTTCCTTCTCTTTCTCCCTGGCACTATCTTTCTTTCTCTTTCTCTCCTGAGGTGCAGATGGCCACATTTGCAGGTTAACTGGAACAGCTGGAGGCGCATTATTAGTTCCCTGCTGCGAACTCATATTTGCTTAGATTTTTTCTAACAGCACAGTAATTTATGACTTTTAGCCATTGATATAGCTTGTACCCTTGTTTTGAACATACTGATCTGCTTTCAAAATTCATTAGCATTTGTTTAACATAGAAATGGGGGGATGTGATTGTTATTTTAATCAATTAATCAATAATTATTGTTCATAGGACTATATAGTTGCTTTGAAATGTAAACAACATGAAATGTAGCAGACATTGTTCCCTAAGGGGATTCTAGACAATATTTATACTAGTGCATTCATCTGTGGTGACAGTTTCTGAGGAGTGCAATAGTAGATCATAACTGCCACGAGTGAGAAGTCAGCAGACTGTTTATTCCACTTCATTTAATGTTTAGAAGCAAAATAAATAAATACCTTTATTATAAATTCTGTCGATTCTAAAAGATTATATATGTATATGCTCCAGCAGTAACTTTGTGCGGGCGAGGGGATTAATTCTTTGTTTTCTCGGAATTGGAAAATGTAAAGCTTTTATGGTTTTAATGCAATGCCAACAACACTGACTCCCTTAAGTACACTTTGCATATAAATTAACCAAATATTTATTCTCTGCATTATTGCATGGTTGATGCAGGAAATCAGTGAATCACCATGCGTATTTGCATATATGCATATATGGATCGCTTGAAGTAGTATTTCTTTTTGTGTTAATGTTTGTATTACATTAGCTATTTTATTGATTGCATTCTTTAATATATAAAGAGGACAACCTATTTTTAAAATGATAGTTCCAATGATTAAATGCAGTATCCTGTCATACCTCTGAATGAAGAGGCCCTACAGGTGGTGGCATGTAGTACTACAGCACGATGGTATGCCAACCCACATTCACACGATCACAAGAATAGTTCAGATGAAGCAGGCCCTCAGCCGATTTGATCTCACCGTTCCAGAACACCCACCCTATAATACTCCCATCACAGCATTGAGCTGTTTTATTTAAATGAGTATCGTGTCCTTATCGCATCCACCCTTCCTAGTAAACTGTTCCAGTCATTAATTAATCTCTGAATAAAGACGTCTGTCCAAAATTTTCCTTTTGCAACCCTAAACCTGCCCTTTCCTTCAGCTGTCTTGGGACAGTACTGTTAGTTCACTTTCCCACTTAAAATATTGTATACCTAGATAAGGTCCTCTCTGATATGTCTCATTTCAAGACCGAATAACCCTAGCTTGTCTATTCTTTGCTCTTAGCTCAGTCCACTAATGGTGAGGATCATCCTCTTTGCTCTCTTTTATACTGTCTCAAGGGATGGGCAGCTTCCTTACTATGTGGCAACCAGAACTGGATGCAGTAACCTAGGCCTAACCGGAGCACTATATAGCTTGAGGATAACTTCTGGGGATCTCAACTCGAACGATTTGACCAACATCCTGCTTGCCTTGGTTATGCTTTTACATTGTTTTGACATAGTGAGCGATGAGTCAGCTAACACCCTTAGATCCCTCTCAGCTTCTCTCTTGGCAAGTTGTATCCCATCCATGGAGTATATGCAGTTCTTTACTTCCTATATGTAATATCTTGCATTTATCATTTTGAGTGCTGTAATGTGGTGGTATACAGGTTTGTTCGTTACCCCACTAAGTTCTGGTCTTTACATGGCTCTGGAACATGAAGACTTCTCTGAAACTTCCTGCATTTTCTCATCACCATAAATAATTCCCTGGTCAATAGAATTCACCACATTACAAATAATTAACCTCAAGTGACATCACTAAACTAGGTTAAGCAGGAATTCTTTTCTCTCGTATATAATCAGCCTATTAACCATCCAAGGAAAGTGGTCCTTAGAGCTCTGTGGGTGACGGTACTCATCCGGATATGCTTCTCCGAGGAGCTCTGCCATCCATTACCATTGTCTTCCTGTTTTTGATACACAAAAATGGGTCGATGGTTGATATTTTTGAAATGCAGCCATTCTTTTGGCTTTTGGTGGACTAAAGAAAGGGCCTTAAAGTGTTCTTAAAGTGCTCTAAAATGGATGGTGAGGGTCTGGATGTAGTTGAATTTTTAAAAAAAGACAGGGAATGGGGCAGAAAATGATGGGATGAATAGAATTAATGTTTTAGAATAATTTAAAGTGAATTTATGAAATCATTCAGACCAAGGAGATTTTAATTTCCCTGGATGGTGAGAATCTAAGGTTAAAACAAATGTGTGTCTCTTTTCAAACTTCATATTTAAAAAAAAGGGTAAGTAAGTGTGTTAATAAAAGCCAGGTAACATACCAAGGGTTAAAACAGCACTAGGTCAAAAAAGTTGATTTAGGTGTTCCCTTTCCTAGGAAGGGGAAGACATATTGTTTTGACATTATAAGCACAAATACCAATTGCCCGGATTATTAGTTATAATCATTGATCTTATTCATTATTGAGAAATCCTCTGGTACAAGTCTGCATGCGAAGACATTAAGGACAGGACAAGGCTTTTCCACATTATCTTATCAGCCTCTGATGTGTCCTGTGTATCTTAGATTGCAGCTTACCTTGTACATAAGGAATAATTACAAAGCTAGGTACTGCAAAGTTGCCACCGTTGCCTGGGACCATACGCTGTGTGAGTCGTCACCTTCAGGAGAGGTCAGAGAAAAAATCAGCAAAAAAAAGTGTATTTGTAATATTAGTTTCCTTTTAATCTGTTTCTTTGAACTGTTAATGCTGGTTGGTTCAGTGATGGAGTACACTGCTGTTTATGGAGCCTGACCCGTTCAGAAATGTATCTGATGTAACTCGTTGTAATTAAATGACAGTGCATCATTCATTTTCTGTTGCCTGTTTGAATTGTCTGTCTGCTAAAGAAACCAAACATTAACACATACTTGTTGTAAAACTGATGTGTGTAGCTTCAGCTTCACTGCTTCTAAAAGCACAGTAGGGAAGGTGTTAGGTCTATCCAATCAAAAACATCTGTGGTCAGTGCAACTAATCCTGGTTTGGTGACAGGCTGTTACCAAGAATCAGCAGGGTCCTAATCTGCTGTCATCAAATCTGATAGGATGTGATAAATCTGTCATCTCCAAATGCTCATCTTCAGCTGCCAAAAATATCCAGAAAACAGGAATTTTGTGAAACTGTACAACAGTTGGCGTTTTTAAAAGCTTGTGTTTTTTAAGACGAGGTCAGATAAAGATGTAAACCCACTTGTTTGATTTGTATTGTCAGTGTTTTCTTACGGTTTAATTGTTAGAACCTATTGCAGATTCCTGGTATGTTTTAAGTGTTTATCAGATAAAGATGGGTGTCTTTGACATATTGACTCTGGAGGACACAGTGCACACTTGCACATCTAAGCTGAATAGCCATAATGAAACTGAACTGAATATTAAACCATTATTATGCTTACAGTTCTTCCGTTACCACTCTCTTATCGTAACAGATCTAATTAGATTGAATCAGCACTATTTCAGTCACTTCTGTATTGTTCTTTAACTAACAGGTTGTATTTTTTCAACTTTACAGAGGAAGGCATCAATCATGAGTGCAAACTGTGTAACCAGATGTTTGATTCTCCTGCAAAGCTGCTGTGTCACTTGATTGAGCACAGCTTCGAAGGAATGGGAGGTACCTTTAAATGCCCAGTTTGTTTCACAGGTAAGACACATGCAGCGCATTTTTATTGTTGGAGGGTGTTTATTGGCTCTTTCCTTTTTTGTGCATAATACTGTAGCTTTCGAATTTGAACAATAGTTTTGGAATTAAAATGTAACTTGATGTTGACAGCCTTTTAAAAAGTGGGTGAATGTCACAGAATAATAATGACTAGCAATTCTGCAACATGAGAGCAGAAAGCAACATTTTCCCAGTAAAAGCATTGTAACTTTGCAGATTTATTATTTGCAATAACTTTTAAGATTATTAAAGCCAAATTGATTTCAATGCCTGTGTTAACTTGCTTGACTCCCAACATTTTCCTCAACAGTAAAAGTAGATAACACATTTGGGAAAAATGGCTAGTTTGCCTGAAAGGATAAGTATCTTGCAATTGAAGGGCAAAGTACATCAGTCACAATGAACGTTTAATACTGTGAATTCAGGAGAAGGAGGTCAGGGGCAGGAGGAAGAAGACACACATCTTATTACCTTCTATCAAGGAAATAATTATTTTACATTAACAGGATATGGATATGGGCTTTAGTGTTTTATGAGCTTCAACACATGGGGAGCTGTCCTGTATGACAAGGTCCACATGGAAAATGTTGTGCAGACGAGCAAGCAGGATTTGTGAAATGCCTTAATAGGTTTGCATAAGTGTATTTGACCCCCACTCGGCAAGAATTCAATCCACTGAACATGTTTCTGCAATCAAAATTGGTGCAGTAATTCAGTCATACGTGCAGCCGAATATCACTGGCGCTTGGATTCTTTGGATTTGCTTAGATTAGTTGCTGCAGAATAGAAGTCTTTACAGCTTTTTGGGGTTTTGCTAGCATAGGAATTGGAGCATATTAGACTCAAAATCCCACCTAGTCTTAACCTTAACGTCCAATTTTCTGAAAATTTTAGTGAGAAGAAATTCCATTTACATCTAGATTTACTCTTGTCAAGTAGCATTTTGGAGCATACAGAATCTGACAATTTCTTACATTGAGCCTTATTTTGAAGCCAGCAACAGTAAACAACTTCAAAGTTCTGGACATTTCTAAAATGCTAGAAAAATAGAATGAATCTGGACCCAGATGGAATTTCTCCCCAAGAAGATGGCGCAAATTTGTGGAATTTTCTCAAATTCAGTCATGATTTGCAAGGTGGTTCTTTGTAAGAACTGTGGAAAACCAGTTTCCAAATTCATACTGATATTATGGCTGATATTGAGTGTCGATTTGGCTAAGTTTAGGGCATAGCTTGCAGTCTTTACTGCATGACGGATTAACAGACACTTTGAATGTCATTCGCACTGGTCTCAGCCAGGTGGGTAACTGCTCTGTGAATTCCTGCACAGTATAATTTGGATTCTCTTAGCCAGGATGAAAGCTCTCCAGCCAGCACCTTGCATCTGATAGTGTTAAAACTAAATTGCTCATAATTAGAAGTTACAATAAAAGTCATTGTGCCTTCCAGTGGAATGGCCAAAGTCCTAAGTGTCCCTGAGGTAGAGGCAGCAATCACTGGCAATATTTCACTATCAACCTCAGTTCATATTCCCTTAATCTGGAATTGGATGCACTTTCATCTCCCAGCGTATCAACTGATGATACAGAACGCAAACCAACTACATAAGATGAAGCACACTAACGTACAGGGTAGATACCATAAATGGGATTCAATGCACACAATTAATTATTTTGCAAAATAAATACTTTCGCACTAAATATTATTTTTATTTATAATGATATTTTCATTATATTTTATCAAGTGAAAATTAATTGAACATTATATTCCTGCTTCACTTGTGGTTTGCAGCATTATACCTAGAGTGACCCATTTTACCCAGAGTCATATTGGTGGCACCATATTCTTATCCATTTGGAGCTAATTAAGGACTTTTAGTTTATCAGTAGCATATTATTTTATTTCTGTCATAACAATCAAACACACAATCTTGTGAGAAGAAGCTGTTGCTTTTATTGGTTTTCAAACTGCATGTTGTTGAAACGGTAACCTTCAGCAAGGTCTTAAATGACAAAGCTTTCAATTTTTTTTGCTTTTCAGTTGAAAAATCCCTGCATAAAATTTCTACCTCTCTTGTAATGTTCCACTAACTTGCCAAACTATGGGGCAGTTTTGTGCCGTGTGCCCATACACACTAGGAACTGGATAATGCTGCTCACACTGACTCGATGTGGGATTCTCACGATCATCTGCAACAGAAGACTTTTGTTCCCTCAATCTGGACCAGATTGTAATTCTGATTCCAGAGATAGAAAAACAGACGTTAACCCACAGCATTACACAGTTATATTTAACCCTCATATCGGTAGTCAGCCATCAGTTATATCTAAATATGACACATGCCGTTATTTTAGGACAATATTTCATGCTTACTTTAGTCAGATCAGCACAACATACATGAAAATGCATGGAAATTTATGTTAAGAATGGAGAGTGGTGATAATTACTCCCAAATGTTGTATTAGTGCCTGAAATGAATGCTAGATGTGTGATAACATTATCTATTATAGGATGATTTCTGCAAAGAGGTTACTACAGTGATGATTTCACAAGAAGATACCATCATTGTTTTTTATAGAATGTATACAAGTGTATAGACAGATGATGCTTTCCATGAATCTCTTGTTTTTGTGATGGTTTGAAATAACTTAGTTATAATTATTCGACGAAGGCATTTCAGACGTCCAATAATTATCATCATGTTGCAAACCACAGCACCCAGTTGAGTATGCAGATTACAAAGAGCTACAGTATTCAGCACTGTTATAAATAAATGAAGCATCAGTCTTGAAATGTTAAATTATTAATCTCGTCTACATAGTGGATTAAATTTAGTGAAACAAAAAAATGATTTATTGATAAATATCACAAGATCTGTGGGGGATTTGGCTCAATGTGCTGGTAATAATAGATGTGCAGACAAGAATGGCAGCCAACTTTTGCAGCAAATGCACCTCTGATCATGTCCAATTATTTTCAGTCTTTGTACAGGCAAACAAACTGCAGCAGCATATCTTCGCAGTGCATGGGCAGGAAGATAAGATTTACGACTGTTCGCAGTGCCCACAAAAGTTCTTTTTTCAAACTGAACTTCAGGTATGTTCCCAATTATCTTGTGTTCTATTGTGAAGTGGTTAACCAAGGCACAAAGTGAAAGAACCACATGCATATTTTACATAGTTGTACTTACTTTAATAACATATTATTATATATTGTGCCAAATTATTTTTTAATATCTCGAATCATTGAAGTCTTGTCTGTAGACCTTTTGAATCTGCTTAACGGGTAGTCGAATACTTACTTTTGACTTGTTTGTTTGTTGCTGCCTTTCTACTCACTTCATATTTGTGCATTTTGCTAATTTTCACCCTTTCCTTGTGAAACCTTGGGATTTCTGTTTTTCCCCCTCCCCCCATGTCAATTTTAATAAATATTTATACCTTGCAAGACTATCGAGGGAGGGGTTAAAGAAAATAGCCTCGCGGTAATAATTTAACAATTTCAGAAACAATTTTGAAGGTCAGTTCAACAAGCTGGCCTTTTTCAACACCACACCTGATGCCCCAAAAATCTCTATGGATCTAAAAATTGCTCAGAAATGCAGCTTCCAAATTAAGATTAAATTTCTACATTTTTAAATCTTAACTGTTCAAGACAATAATCTTGAATATAATAATAAGAGAAATTTGGGGCCTCTGAGATGTCTTACTGGGATTCATTGAGTTGCAGTTGCTCATGTTGACTCAGTTTGATAATGAAGATATACTACATTCAGAGCAGTCTAGCTCCACTTCAACTAAATAAAGGCCATAGCTCAGTCTGTGCACATGCCCAATTGATGGACTGATGCCAAGGGCTTGAGGTCAGAAGTTGCAGATGCTATCACATTGGTATTTCTATTGGCTTGGAACAGCGAGAAGCTTTACCTACTAGCTTTGTCAGTTCACTGTTTACATTGCCTTCATTATAATGTAAAACTGGTAATCGACCCCCTGCTTCCTGTGGTGAGCTTTTGTACTGCCTTTACACTGGAGCAACATTTTTTGGCAGGTTTTCCATTGGAGACGTATGAATACATACTGGGCTTATCCCAGAATAAAGCATAAATGGAGCTTGTAATTATAAAAAATCATGAATATTTGGTTTGATGTGATCACAGTTTTTTTTATTAACATGTCCCTGTACCAAAAGGTTAAAAACAATTGCGAGTAGTTCAAAGGGATAAGATGTGAAACATATCAAAAATTAAAAAGTCATCTTCTGAGAATATAATTTGTACAGACATCCTTTTCAAAGCACTTAACAATGAAATGAAGACCTGACACTAACACCATGACCAACAGACTTTCATAGCGCTGAACCAACTGCATTTAAAATGGCCATGTACTTGTTTGGAATTTAATATTTTTCACTCAAAGCAACACAAAGGATCGCATGTCTATTTGAAGTCTGCATTATATGGTTGTCTATTAAACCCAACTATGGATCAGTATTTTTACTTTCATGTAAAGCCAGTGATTTTTCATGCATCAACAGCAGAATGCAAACAGTACTGGGCAAATGTAACTCCAACCAAAGCAGAAAGGATTAGTGGCTGTTGGTCAGGATCTTTTCAGTCAAGTAACCCCCACTGCCACCCGTTTTAATCTATAGAAGAAAGTTTTTCATTTGATTTGGTAATGAAATAGAATAGGCAAGTTCTAGGAAGATACTTCATTGTTCATTTTAGAGGCTTTTGCTTTTCATCAAGTGGGTTTATTCTTTGAATTGGAATTTTTTAAAAAAGCAGAATTTTATTCATTGTTCAATTTAAAAATACTTGTACTTTCAATGGTGATATGCTAAATCCACCCCCTCTTTCAGCTAGATATCACTATAGGGCACATCTTTTTGAGTTTTCTATCTGAGGACTTTTGGTGGTTTGGTTACACTCTTGGCAGCGATTTGATCTTCTGGCCTGGGGCTCACTGTTCTTATCCATGAGCAGAACTCCACTAACTTGCGCCAAATGTCAGGATTTTTTTCAAATATTACACAAAGAGCAGAGGGGCCTGCTGACTCTTCAATCACATTAAACAAGTATGTACCATCCATTAGCCTGCCAAAGAATGTTAAACTTAAAATTATTATGTTTAAAAGCTCGCTTTACAGCTAGACAGGCTACACCAAACATGAAGACAAGTTAGCCTTGCACCGTTTACCTGAATTATGTGAATTATGAATTATGAAGCTACTACAATAATTATAATACAGGACTGTGGAGTCCTGTAGCTCAGTGGTTAGAGCACTCGCTTTGCAAGCGAGAGACCTGAGTTCAATTCCAGACAGAGGGCGAAACCTTGGGCAAGTTTCCTTACTCCACACAGAGCCTAATAATAATCCCTCCAAAACCAAAAACAATAATAAAATTGGTCATTTTCAATCTATGACTGTTTGTGGGACATTGCTGTGCGCAATTGGCTGCCGCGTTCGCCCACAAATATACAGTCAATTCACTTTACAGTGTGTTCTGTGAAGCGCTTTGGGACGTCCTCCTGACGTGAAAAGCGCTATATCAAATGCAAGGATTATTATTATTATTATTACCCTGTGGTAAATGGTCACTAATGTATCTGTCTGAATGTTTTTGTTGTGTATGTGTATAAAATCAAGTCCTGCTTAGGTGTCAGCCTGGCTTAATTGGTAGACACTCTTGCCTCTGAATCAGAAAGTTGTGGGTTCAAGCCGCATGTTGGAACGTTGAACTCACAATCTAGGGTAACGTCCCAATCCAACAGTGTGAGAACACTGCATTGTCAGATACTGTCATTCTGATAAGATGTTAAATCTAAGTTTGTTCCCTGCCACCATTTTAAAACAGAACGGAGTATCTTGTGATGTCCTGTCCCAACAATGCTCCAGATTAAAATTTGGTCTTTCACTTTGTTGCTGTTCGAGGGACATTGGTGTGCACAATTTGGTTGCTGTTTCTATCTACAAATACCGAGTCATAATATTTTACAGTGAATCCTGTGAAATACTTTGAAATGTTTGATAAGACACTATATCATATTATTGTAGCTGATTTTTGATGTGTTCGATTCAAATCATCAGACTCCAGTTTTGCAGCAAAGTAAGATAGGCAAAAAGGAAATAGGCAGTCATCCAGATGATATGCAACACTCAATACAATATGATCTTGTCATATGCAGAGATACAGTATAGGATGGAGCACAAGATAGAAGTCAGTGGGACATTGAATGATGTGCTATCTACAACAGCCTGGTCTGTGTCGATCAATTGATCATTTAGCCTTTGTTTAAACATAATTTAACATTGACATGGCAACGGTTTTAGAATGTCAACAGCCTCAAACAGTGTAAGAGGGAAGGAAAAATATTAAATACAAACACTTTGGTGAAATAAAAATAATTTAAATAATGAAGACGTGCAGTTGCAGATTAAATTCATTTTTTGCCATATTGCTAAGAATTTGGAGGCCTTTTTTTAAGACGTTTTTCTTCTTTTTTCATCGATGTTATTTCTAGTTTATAAAAAGGTTGAAGCTTCCTCCAGAGCAAACCAATGTGCCTGGCCACAGTGTCAAGCACTTCAAGATTTCCTCCCGATGTGAAGGGCGATAATAAATGTAAATTTGGATTGTATTGTATCCTGTAGAGGACACCTACAGAATTCAATCTCCGTTTCAGATGTTTTAGTTGAAATACACATGAAACAGATCAGGACAACTGGCTGAATATGATTGTAGTATCTGAGGTTGCATGATCTGTTTTCTAGACCCCATGATTTATTCTAAAGGTCAATATTTTACATTGAACCATAGCTGGAGGGGGGTGGGTGGGGGGGAGGCAGTAGAATGTTTAAATGAGATCAGTGCAGTTTTACATTTTGAAGTTAATATGGCTATTGGTGACTCCTACCACAGTACTGAAGAGGAAATTAGCAGAAAATGCCTTGGTATGTTTGACATTGAATCCTAAATTAATTTGTCACTTATTAAGTTAAAGTGAGCAGTCATTTTGTGTTCGGGAGTAAACAATGAACATCACATGGCTGGGAGAATAACACAAATTACTTTACAGAGGGAAACAAATGTTTAATATAGTCAGAAAAGTTCATAATTTGTGTTATTTTGAGCATATTCTCCCCACAAAATAAATCAACACTTGTGGAACATCATGTTTATACTGGACCAAGGAGCCATAAGTGAAGGATTATGTCCTCAAACCAATGTTTCTTCCTCCTCCTCTACGTTAAATCCTTACATTTGATATAGCACCTTTCATATCGAGAGGATGTCTTGTATCACTTCACAAGGTATATTGTAAAATGTCATGACGTATCTATAGGAGAATCTGGCAGCCAACACCTAACCTGGAGCCTTCAGTGTTGTCAGAACAAGATTATGTTCAATTACTCAGCATGCAGTAACTCAGTAAAACATTACTCAGATTTCAAGAGCCTGACTTTGGATCCCAGGTTTAATTGTTCTTCAGAATCTGCTGCTCTGAAAGGACGAGTGCCACTAGCTCTTGGTCAAACCATTAAATGGAGATTGATGCATTTGTGAAGTATATCATCTTTAGAGAGATGTACAAATAAGCAAGAAACTATCTAACTCTTTGAAAGATGTTCCCAGTAGTCGTTAAAGAGGGGCATTTATAGTAGTTTTAGAGAAAGCTGATAGGGATGAAATTATAAGATTTAAAAAAACTCTACTGATTGCAAAGATTGAATACCAGCTCAAAATGAGTACATTTTGGTTTATGTGGCTTCATTCAAGTGGAACATTTACCTGTAACATGGTCAAACAAAAATGGAGTTGATCTCTGTTTGTAAGTGTGGTGAATTTGTCACAGTTCAGATTAGTTCAAAATAAAAGCTTTCAGAACTTTTTAGGAAGTCTGTTGAACACCAGGTTGCCGGTGTTTATTTGGAGACCTGTGCAATTGTTTAGTTCACAAACACCACATGCTTTGTTTAGTTTAGTTTAGTTTTATCATTTAACTGCTGTTTAGTATTTATTATGGAAATGTATTGATCTGAATTGACATATAATCTTAAATGTTCGAGTAGATTGTTAGTTAAGGGTCGTG